TTTGGTTCTGGAACCTGCACTCTATGTTGACTGCATCATATAGGAAGGCTTTATTTTATCATATTATTTTAGGAGAGGATGTTTATCACCAAGCCACACAACTAGTCAGTGGTAAAACTGTCTCACAGGCAGGTCCTATATCTACCACATTATTATCACTCTGTATTCTGGGAATTTCATTAATTGAACCCTCAAGCAGTACTCACTTATGCAGATGTGCTACTCTGCAGATAGTACACATGATATTTAAACAAGGTCTTACTACTGAACTGCCAAATAAGTAGCATCATGTTTTTATTTCTGGGCCTGTGAAGAGCTGGAGAATGTTTTGCTAGTTGGCAGAAGTCTGATACTTAAATAGCTAGATACTACCAATCTAGAAAAATCTTTTTTTCCAAAACTAAAGCTGTTAATTTAAGAGCATAAAACTGACTTTGTAAGAAAAGATGAGACACAATTATTAGGTCCACGAATACAGACTACTTTATCTATTTTGTCCAGAGGGCTCCTGGAGAGTCTCTTGGCCTATAAGGTCTATGGAGAGGGAGATGATACATGCAACTATTGCTTTAACTCAAATAAGACCCATGATCCTAATAAAGGAGTAGGTATTGATCAAAATCCTTATTGTGAATGTTGGAGAAAAGAAGATACTCACTTTCAGACTTTTCTCCAATACTTGACAAGTCTGCACATTGTACTCTGATCCACTGGAAACTTTTTAAGCGGACTAGAAATCCGATACTGTGGTTTCTCAAGTTGTACATCACTATGATTCAAGCCTTCATATCAGGGACTTATATTTCTTCCTTTTAAAGACTTCTTTGCATAGTTTCAGTAAATAAATGCTCAATTGTTAGGTAATATATTTAAACTCTACCATATTATTATTTAGAATATTTCCTGCCAATCAATTTCAGTGAATAGAATATGTTTGACTGTCTATGGGTTTAAAACAGAAGAGAAATTCCAAGTGACCTTTTCAGTTTCCAATGGACACTGGTGCTCAAAAGGGACCAGAGTAAAAAGAGAGGAAAGAAATGGCCACCATACCATCTTGGCTTGGTGGCCAAGACGTATTTCTGATAAAAAAAAATCAGTGAAGAGTTGTCTCAGAGAAGAGAGACTTTGTGTCAGTTCAGAAGGCAGAGAAGTTACACAGTAGCCTATTTTACTTAATTAAAAAGAAAAAAACAGAGGAAAAGTCATTGGTTCAAGTCAGAGTCCATCCAGGTTTTTAATATTGTCTGGAAATAATTTTGTCCAGATCACACAAATTGTAATTATAAAGGCTAGTGGGAGAAAGCATGCTAACTTCGGTTACAGAGGGCTAGGAACTTGGTGAACAGATAGATAAGGGTATCTTGTGATGGGAAGGGGAATGCCTATTAATAGTACTTGTCTCCCAAAAATGAATATATTTAGTTATATTCATGCAGATATCTCCTGGGTATGGCTCAACTGCTTCTGTCATATATAGTTCTCGGAAACTAGAAATTACTATTGTTGTGTTTTTTATAGTCATCTTTAGAAAATTATTTCTGAGCTTTTGAAGAAGGAAGGAAATAAAACCAGAATCTTAAATTGTGAAGATCTCTTTTGCAAAGCTTCTTTTTGCATGAAGAGATTTTGCTTCTCATTGAAATAAGAGATAAGGGCAACACAAAGCATATGACAATTTCTACTTAGATTTTAAAGTTACAGTCAAAGCTCTTATACTATATGAATAAGGGTACAAAGGTAAGAATGCAAAAAACAGGAACTGTAAATTAATGCCTAGAGAGGTGAAGCAGGCAATACAAAAAATCCATCCTATAACTTAATAAAACTGAAAGGCAAAGGATTCGGCTGAAGAACTTAAATCTGAGTTTGTCGTTCACTAAAACTTATTATTATTATTATTATTATTATTATTTTGAGACAGAGTTTCACTCTTGTTACCCAGGCTGGAGTGCAATGGTGCGATCTCAGCTCACCGCAACCTCCACCTCCTGGGTTCAGGCAATTCTCCTGCCTCAACCTCCTGGGTAGCTGGAATTACAGGCACGTGCCACCATGCTCAGCTAATTTTTGTATTTTTAGTAGAGACAGGGTTTCAACATGTTGACCAGGATGGTCTTGATCTTTTGACCTCGTGATCAACCTGCCTCGGCCTCCCAAAGTGCTGGGATTAACAGGCTTGAGCCACTGCGCCCGGCCCCTAAAACTTATTTTTATTTCATTTAAGTCACCTTCTTCTCTTCCTCTCTGATGCTATGTCCAAAAAGTGATGATTTTGTTAGGTTCTCTACTACCCTTATGAATAGGAGAAGATTAAATAATTACCAAGTATGACCTTAGTCCATGTGGCCATTCACAGATCCCTTAAACTGGGATAAAATTCAAAGTAGGGCATGTGATCTTGGTACATAGTCTCCAATGGGTCTTGAGTATAAACAGCCTGATATTTTGGGGCATGAGAAAAAGTATGCTGATCTATTTCTCCAAATGTTATTCTAGAAATTCATAGTTTATAGCATTGTCTATGTTTATAGATATATACACATAGTTTTGAAAGTCTGACCTATATTGGTAGGTTTTTCCATTACCTTTTCTTATCTTCAATCAAACTAAACTTATTATTACTTGCAGCATACAAAGAGAATGGGGAAGAACACAAGAAATTAAAAGCTCAACTACGGTGAAAACTGGTAAAAGCTAGATCACAGAAACCACGGTGCTTAAGAAGACAATGCCATCAAATTTTTTTCTTTTCTCTTCAAAACTTAATTTTTATCTGATCTCAGCAAAAACTAATCTTTTTATTTTGTCTTTTAGACAATTTCCTAATTTATGTTTTCCTTCTTTGTCGTTTCTGCAACTAATCCTCTAAATCAGCCTTTATCAACCAGGATTCCTCATCTGAACCACAGAACTCAGAAAATAATTTACAATATATGACAATTTTTCTCATTTTTCTCAAGGATGCTATATAATTAGTACCATTTTAAATGCATAGGATGCATACAATGGGTGCTGCCTTAGGACCTTAGAGTTTAATTATCTCTGGAAACCACACTGACTCACAAGAGAAAGCTCCTTTATTACTTTTATATACTTGCTTTACAGTAAAGTAGGTTCATATTCATCTAAATACCATTAATTTGCTACCAATTCATCTCATATGCATTAACTTTCCTTCTCATTTCGAGCCTTATCTCTCATGGTGGGTTAATGAGGTGAGTTAGGAACCAAGACATTGAATAATAAAAATGTAAGACCTTAATAGAAGGTTCTAATCCCATTTCTGCCGATTCCTGCCTTTTAAGTGTGTTGAAAAATCACCTGAAGGCATATAGATATAAACTACTGTTCAGTATTTTGTTGCTGTTTTGCTAGCTTAGTTTGATTTACCCATGAAAGCAGTAAGCATGGTTTTCTTTTCAATAATCACCATAGTGGAGGGGTCAGGAAAATTTTTCTGTAAAGGGCCATATAGTAAATATCTTGAGTTTTGCAGGTTATGCAGTCTTTGTCTCAGCTACTCAATTCTGCTGTCTAGCCTAAAAGCAGGCACAGACAATACACAATAAAGTGACATGAAATGGTGTGGCTGTGTTCAAATAAAATGTTATTTTAAATAATAAGTGTAGACAATAGTTTGCTGACCCCTGACTTAGAGTAAGGGGTTTGCAGTTCAATAAATACTTTTAACTAATGATGATAGTGAAGGTAAGAAGCAGACCAGAGTGGCCGGGTGCTGTGGCTCACTCCTGTAATTCCAGGACTGCGGGAGGCTGAGGAGGGTAGATCATGAGGTCAGGAGATTGAGCCCATTGGCTAACACAGTGACACCCAGTCTCTACTAAAAATATAAAAAATTAGCCAGGTATTGTGGCATGTGCCTGTACGTAGTTCCAGCTACTCGGGAGGTTGAGGCAGGAGAATTGCTTACCCGGGAGGCTGAGGTTGCAATGAGCCTAGACCGTACCACTGCACTCCAGCCTGGGCGACAGAACAAGACTCTGTCCCAGGGTAGGGATGGTTCCATACCTATACCTTCCTACTATGTAGCAGTGATAAAATTAGTTTCTGGTTTCTGTTAAGTATAAAAGTAAAGACTAGAGTTTTATATCCACTTAAAATGCATCCTGGTAATGCATGCATATCTGGTAATTCTGGCAACGAGCAAAAAGCAGAATAAATGCTGTTGTTTTTATCATTTAATTAAAACAAAACAGTTAACTGAATCTACTATCAATAAGTAGAGTGCTGATGGCTAACACATAGATAGTCAAGAGTATTCAGAGTTATATATCCTTTCCAATACTGATTTATCATCAATTTATACTTATTAAGTACTATCAGGCACTAGAAACTAAACAAAACAAGACACAACAAGCCTGCAGTCATTGATTCTTGACTAGAACTGTGCATTAGAATCACCTGGGAGACTTTAAATTTTGTTTTTTTAGAGCCCCACTCAAAAACCCACTAAATCAAAATCTTACTTGTTAGGGCCCAGGATAAAATTTTGGAAAAGTAACGTTAGTAATTTGGGGAGTTCCTAGTGAAGAGTCACTGCTAGATTTGTATTTTTAATGAAAGGTTAAACTCTAAACATTTTCTAATCTATGGTCAGCAATTTGGTATTATAGTTTAGGTACATGGGCTTTAAAATCAAACAGACAGGTTCTGATCTCATTTCTGCAAATTTCTAGCTGTATAACCCTGGGGAACTTCTCTGTGCCCGAGTTTCCTTATCTGTAAAATGGGCATAATAACATCAACTCAACTCAGCGTTGTTGGGAGAATTCAATATATGAAAAATAGCTGGTGTAGTGCCTGACACACACTAAGCACACAAAAAATATGAATCCTTACTACTTATTACACATTTCTTAAATTAAAAAGAATATTATCAAGTACCTTACAATTAAAAGGTCTGACTCAAGGGGCAAAGTCTCTTTAACAACTATTAAGAGTGTAATTAGGCTGATTCCAACTTGTCTTATACTAACCAACAGAAGAGATGTCCTTTTCCACAATCAACAGCAGGAGCTCTCAGCAATGGGAAGCTAAGTGTATCAGATCCAGATGTATTTGACCCTTGTTTTGTTAGTCTGACTGCTCTGTCACAGCCTGGAGTAGGACACCATTTAATGGCAGGATTATTTTCAACAAAGGCCTGTTTAAACAGCAATAACAAAACACACAAAAATTATATTAATGCTAAATTCTAATACAGAGTGTACCTCTAGTGTAATGTACTTGAAAGCAGAGAAAGAAAGAGTGAAATAAAGTGCAAGGAGTTATCAGTCTCAAGAAAGGTAAACAGGACTGCAAAGTACTGAAAACATTATTAAGAAGGAGAAAGTGGCAATTAACTTAGTAATAACATGATTTTTAAAATTTATGTTTTCTTTAATCTAAAAACCAGGTAAATGACGATAAAGTAAAAACATAATTGTTCACACAGAAAATATATAAGTTAAAAATGTTTTCTTGGCTGGGTGTGGTGGCTCATGCCTGTAATCCCTGCACTTTGGGAGGCTGAGGTGGGTGGATCACGAGGTCAGGAGTTAGAGGCCAGCCTGGCCAACATGGTGAAACACCATCTCTACTAAAAATTAAAAAATTAGCTGGGCGAGGTGGTGGGCGCCTGTAATCCCAGCTACTCGGGAGGCTGAGGAAGAAAACTCGCTTGAATCTGAGTGGTGGAGGTTGCAGTGAGCCGAGATCACACCACTGCACTCTAGCCTAAGCAACAGAGCAAGACTCCGTCTCAAACAAACAACAAAAAAAAGTTTTCTCATACAATGTGTCACTTTTATGATGAATATAGTTGTTAAGCAGAAACTTGCATGTAGCTGTATTAGAACAGTAAATTGCTAAATGGTACCCAAATAATACATAATAATCAATATTATGATACTTTCTATGTTAATGAAGAGGGGAATGGGCACAGTGGCTCATGCCTGTAAACCCAGCACTTTGGGAGGCTGAGGCAGGCGGATCCACCTGAGGTCGGGAGTTCGACACAGCCTGGCCAGCATGGTGAAAACCCATCTCTATTAAAAATACAATAATTAGCTGAGAGTGGTGGTAGGCACCTGTAATCCCAGCTACTCAGAAGGCTGAGGCACGAGAATCGCTTGAATCTGGGAGGTAAAGGTTGCAGTGAGCTGAGACCATACCATTCCACTCCAGCCTGGGCGACAGAGTAAGTCTCTATCTCCAAAAAAAAAAAAAAGAAAGAAAAAAAAGAAAAAAGAAAAAATTAGGATTTAGACTCAGTTTAACTGCATAAAGCAGTTAAAATGTAACTTTTAAAAATCATACACACAAAATAAAGTAACTTGCCTACACTTAAGACTTCTGGAAAAAAAAAAGAAAAAAAAAGAAACATTAGAATTCACTATATAAACCTATTACTTGGAATAAAAATAATAACAAACTTCCAAGTTGAGAATTTTTATTTCCAAATATTTTATTTAGGGACATAAAAGATAATGTATTTTGGAAAACTTAAAAGTAGGTACAATCTAATTTAAACACTATCTTGATCAATCCGTTATAAAAGTGCAACAGGCAAATTAATAAACAGTTCTGAGAAATAGTTTAATTTTAAATTTCATAAATTACCAGTACTCCTTCCCCCTTTCTTATTATTGTTATAAAATAACACTTGAGCTTAAAACTTTGTCGCCATTACTTTATTTAACTTTTCTGACAGTGTTTCTAACAAAAGTTAGAGCCCATTATTTTGTTTTCAAAAATAAAAGAAGAATTAAACAATGTTATAAATGTTGGACAGAAAATTGGCAGCATACCTTACCTTAATATCAAACTGTAGGTATCGTTTGTCCATCTCCTTTGAAACTACACTTTCTATGATATCCACAGGCACAAGTTGGAAGCAATCATACGCAGGGCAAAAAATGTTGTGAGCTTCACCTTCTTGAATTTTCAGATTCAAAAACCTATTAAAATGATCAATGGACAGCAAAGGTGCAAGGATATTAAGTTGTGCATACATTCTAAGAATTTTCCTTTTTCTTTCCTTTATTTTTAGAGACAGGGTCTCATTCTATCACCCAGATTGGAGTACAGTGACATGATCACAGATGACTGTAGCCTCAAACTCTTTGGCTCAAGCAATCCTCCCACCTCAGTCTTCTGAGTAGCCATGCCTACAGCTGCATGCTGCTATGCCAGGCTAATTTTTAAATTTTTGGTAGAGATGGGTTCTTGCTATGTTGTTCAGGCTGGTTTCGAATTCCTGGTCTCAAGTGATTCTCCTGCCTTGGCTTCCCAAAGCTCTGGAATTATAAGCATAAGCCACTGTACTTGGTCAATTTTTCTTTAGGCTGAATTTTTTGTCAGAGTATAATTAAAATAATACCAACAAACATGTGAAATAGCAACTGTAATGCATATTATCTGTTAAGTCATTTATTTTCTATATCATTATATATGCATACACATATATACATATACTTGTATATTTTATTTATGTTTCTATTTTGCTTTATCATTTCTAAAAATCTGAAACAATCTGAAAAAATACTTTTATTTAAAACAAAAATTCAGAAATGAGTGGCTCAGTTCATATTCAATTCTCAATATGCTACAGCTTTAAAGAAAAAGGGGCAATGGTATAAAAATTAGCCATAGATAATTCAAGATATTTTGGGATGGCATTAGAATATAGCATAGTTTTTTGAAAAATAGGCTTATAGGTTTTCTCTTTATATTTCATTTAGATGAATATTAAAATAAGTTTTATGTCCTATTAGGCATACTTGAATAGTAAGGAAAACCACCCTGTAAAGAAAGAAAGCAGGAATCTAGCCAAGGTTAGATTAAAAGCAGGGTTCTTTTTTTTCTTTCTTCCTTTTTTTTTTATTTTTTAAGGGGTCTCTCTCTCTCTCTCTCTCTCTCTCTCTCTCTCTCTCTGTTGCTCAGGTTGGTCTCAAATTCTTGGGCTTAAGAGATCCTCCCACCTCAGCCTCCTGAGTGAGTAGCTGGGATTACAGGCATGTACTACCATGCCCAGCTAAACGGAAGGTTTTGAATTAGAAAATTCCAGATCTGCCACCAACAAGGCATATAATCTTAAGCAATTTATTTAACTGCTCTAAGCCTCAGTTTCACCACATGTAAAATGGAGATAATGACGTGAACTTCCCAGGGTTGTTACACAGATTATATATGTGAACAATCTACACGGTACATGGCATAGAGTAAGAATTCATAAATTTTAGCAAGGATTATTACTATTATGTAATATTGCCCTTAGAAAAGCAAGAAACAAAAATTTGAAGTACAGATTACTTATATTGAATTTAACACTTAAATCTAGAGAAAATAAATGGAAAATCAGGCCATTAAATCACAACTGCTTAGCCCCCACCATCAACAGTTTGGTTATTCCAACTATAGTATATTTTTTTTAGTTCTCTCATTCTTTTAATTCCATTACATTACAAAAAAAAAAAAAAAAAAAAAAAAAAAAAGCAACCGTATTGAGACCTTGGCAGGCCTGTTCCCTTTGCTCCATCTTCTCTTTCATACCCTTGTCTGGGCACTTCATAGAAAACAGAGTCCCCATCAGGCAATTCTCTCACTCAAAGTGCTGTCTACCATACCTCAAACCCAGCAGTATCTTTAGCAATCTTTCCTTTCTTTCCACTCACTTCAGTGAAAGGGATAGCTTCCTCTTTTACCCCCAAGCTAATCCTCAAATCCTCTGGCCAACTCTGGGACTTGCACTGTCCATTAACCTATCTTTTCTTTCTTTCACTTTCTAATGGCTCTTACCTTAGGCACAATAAACATGCTCAAGTTTTTCCCATTCTAAAAACCCTTTCAAACCACATGACTCTTTAGTTTCATTTTCTTTTTCTGTCACATCAAAGTTTCTTGATAAAATAGTTTATGATTTGTTATTCTTTCCTGATCCACTCCATTCACTTCTCAATCTGTAGCATCAGGCTTCTATTACTTCTTCATTGAACCACAATGCCTACCCATTAGCACAATATATTAAAGACCTCACAGTTTCTACCTTCCTTGATTTGTCTAGAGCATGAGACACTGTGAACATTTCCTTCTTTCAAATTCTCTCTGGCTTCTAGGAATTAATTTTTTCCCTTGGCATTCTTCCTATCTTTGGTAGCCCCTTATTCATTTTTTCACAAGTGCCTTTTTCACTCCTGTGCTAATAAACAGTGACATATAAGGTATAAGGCATACTGTGGCCAGGAGCGGTGGTTCACGCCTGTAATCCCAGCACTTTGGGGAGGCCAAGGCGGGTGGATCACCTGAGGTCAGGAGCTCAAGACCAGCCTGGGCAACATGGTGAAACCTGGTCATTACTAAAAATACAAAAAGTAGCTAGGCGTGGTGGCAGGTGCCTGTGATCACAGCTATTTGGGAGGCTGAGGCAGGAGAACTGCTTGAACATGGAAGTGGAGGTTGTAGTGAGCTGAAATTACACTACTGTACGCCTCAGCCTAGTGACAGAGACTCCGTCTCAAAAAAAAAGAGTATACTGCTTCTTGGATTTTCACCTGAAAATTCTTCCCTTTCCATTTCATATAATCTCCCCGGGTTATCTAAACACCTCTAAACTATATGCTAATGACTGAAATTTAAAGCCTTGACCTCTGGGCTCAAGTGATCCTTCCACCTCAGCCTTCCAAGTAGATGGATCTAAAGCCATTTGACACCATACCTGGCTAATTAATTTTAATTTTTTCTGTAGGAATGGGGTCTTGCTATATTGCTTAGACTGATCTTGAACTCCTGGGCTCAAGCAATCTTACCACTTAGGCCTCCCAAAGTGATGGGCTTATAGGTGTGAGCCACCATGTCTACCCCAAGATATTTTCATTTAAATGCTCCACAGACATTTTAAATTCAACATGTTTTAAATCTTCCCCTCTATTTCCAAAATGATTTAAAAACAGCATTGTATCCACAAAACTCTGATATATCTCAACAGAAGGGCATTAGGCACCTCAGTTTCCAGTCAGTCAATTATTTGTATAACTCTGAATGTTAGGGAAAAAAATATTTTGGCAGAAGTAAGGACGGATGAAGCACTTGGAAAATGCTGGACGGCTGCAGTTCTCAAAATATGATCCGTGAAACTGTGGGGGTGCCTGACACCTTTCAGGAGGTTTTATGAGGTCAAAACTATATTCATAATGGCACTAAGACTTTTTTTTTTTTTTGGTTAAAACTGTTGGTGCCTCAGAACAAGTCAGAGCAGTGGCAATAAAACTGTCTTTGTATTCTTCCCTGCCCTACACTTGCAGTTTCAAAAACAGTTTCATTTAAGAATGTCCTTCACCAGGTGCGGTGGCTCAGGGCTATAATCTCAGCACTTTGGGAGGCTGAGGAGGGTAGATCACCTGAGGTGAGGAGTTCAAGAACAGCTCGGCCAACATGGTGAAACCCTGGCTCTACTAAAAATACAAAAATTAGCTGGGCATGGTGGTGTGTGCCTGTAATCCCAGCTACTTAGGAGGCTGAGGCATGAAAATTGCTTGAACCTGGGAGGCAGAGGTTACGGTGAGCCAAGATCTCACCACTGCACTCCAGCCTGGGTGAAAGAGTGAGACTGTCTCAAAAAAAAAAAAAAAAAAAAAGTCCTTGATAGAATCGTAAGAATTATTAATTTTATTAAACGATGACATGTCAATAGACATCTTTCGGGTATTCTGTGCAAAGAAATGGGAAGTAAAGCATAATGAAATGCTGCTGTATACCCAAACATGATGGTTGTCTCAAAGCAAAGCTCTCAGGAGACTGTTGAAGTTGCAGGCAGGCATACCTGCTTTTTCATTAAATACTATTTTTATTGAAAAAAAAATGACTATAAACAATTATTATTCAGACTTGGGTGTACGGCAGACACATATTTTTTTTTTTTTTTTTTTTGAAATGAGCCTGTCACTTCAAGGAAAAAAATGACAGCATTTGTTGGTAATGATAAAATTCAAGCCTTCAAATAAAAATTAGAACTTTGAAAAACTTTTATCTGTCATCATTCCCAATACTTAAAGACTTTTCTGATAGGATTGGTAATGAGATTAACTAATGTGATTTTTCACTATATTTATGTGTAAGGAAATATGTCAACGTTGGAAGATCTGCATAACTCAGGGGACCAATATTTTCCAAATGATCAATGAATGACATGACAAAATGATGCATGGGTAAAAGATGTATTCAAAATGCAAGATAGACTAATGGATTTTTATATGCATGTATTTTTGAGACAGGGTCTCCTCCTGTTACCCAGGTTGGACTGCAGTGGCATGATCTCGATTCACTGCAGCATCAACCTCCTGGGTTCAAACAATCCTTCCACCTCTGCCTCCTGAGTAGCTGGGACTATAAGTGCATCTAATATAAACAAAAGCTCTTTGGAATCCTCAACAACTTTTAAGACTATAAAGAAGTCTTAAGACTAAAAGTTAGAGAACTGTTACCTGTAGAGTTCCTTTTTCACACAACAAGATTCTCTTCTTTTTAGCTACGAATAGATTTCCTGGGAAATTGGATATCATTTATTATAATACTTATAGCCCCTTGTCAAAGTTCAGAGTTTGTTTAGACATATTTACCACATGTTGATGTTTTGAATTGTATGTATTTTAAATATTTCAGAGCAGATTTAATCATCTCTGGGGAATTAAAGGACAGAACTGAGAAGACATCACTGAAGATAGGATCAGTTCTTTTAGCCATGTTATTATTTCTCATCAAGATACAATTTAACAAAAATTTATGAGCAGAACATGGAGTTGATCAGTGTCAGTAAGAGAGATAAATCTGGGGCAAATTTTTCCTATATTTTTACCTTTCAGGTAAGATTCACAGATGATATCTTAGGTAGGCTCTCTCTGCTTATTACAACGCTTAGGAAGATGATAAGTAATACTTATTGAGTGATTACTATATGCAAGATCCTGTTTTAAGCACTTTACATATAGTAGGAAACTTTAAAAAACCGATAATCCTATGAAGTACTTACTATTATCACCACTTTATAGATTAGGAAACTGAGGCACAGGCAGACTACCACTTACCTAAATCAACAACTAATAGCAGAGTTGGAATTCACAACCCAGTGGCCTGCTATAACCAGAACCTGAGCTCTTATCCTCAATATTAGCAAAGAAATTCTATTCTGGCTAGAAAATAATTTCTATCTAATCTATTGACTGATTGATCAACTGATTGACAGGGTCTTGCTCCACTGCCCAGGCTGGAGTACAGTGGTGTGAACACAGCTCACTGTAGTGTTTAACTCCTGGGCTCAAGTGACACTTCTGCCTCAGGTGCCCAAGTAGCTAGGACTATAGGCATGTGCCACTATGCCTGGCTATTCCCATTTATTTTATCCCTTGGCATCCATACTTTAAAGCAGGAGTATGCAACGTTTTGGCTTTCCTGGGCCACACTGAAAGAAAAACTGTCTTGGGCTACATAAAAAATAGACTAACAATAACAACAGCTGATGAGCTGAAAACAAAAAATTGCAAAAAAAAAAAAAATCTCATAATGTTTTAAGAAAGTTTATGAATTTGTGTTGGGCTACATTTAAAGCTGTCCTGGGGCCACATGAGGCCCGTGGGCTGCAGGTTAGACAAGCCTGCACTAAAGCATCAAGCTCTACTGATAAAAAGGTTAGGAAGAGTAAGATAGACTGAGGGGCTTTCAAACTATCTGAGGACCTTTAAAAACTATTCCTTGGTTTTAGACAGGAGTTTCTTTTTCTATATTCCTAGAAAAAAACTGTAATAATTTAAAAATGATTTCACTGGCTGGGCAAGGTGGCTCATGCCAATAATCTCAGCATTTTGGGAGGCCGAGGCAGGCAAATTGCCTGAGGTCAGGAGTTGGAGACCAGCCTGGCCAACATAGTGAAACCATGCCTCTACTAAAAATACAAAAAATTAGCTTGGCTTGATGGCAGGCGCCTATAATCCCAGCTACTCAGAAGGCTGAGGCAGGAAAAGCGCTTGAATCCAGGATGCGGAGGTTGCAGTGAGCTGAGACTGCGCCATTGCACTCCAGCCTGGGCAACAAGGGCAAAACTCCATCTCAAAACAAAAAAAAGATTTCATCAACATATGACTCACCCAACATGGAACTTGTTTTATTGGTGCCTGATTTGACAAAATTGGAGTGGAAAAGAGAATCCTAGGTAGGCTGGAAGGTACTAAGGAAATCAATAATTAGATCTTTCAAATTTAAATATTACCATAAAGTTCTTATGCCCAGTTTGTGATGAGTTTGAGAGATAGTTCTTGTGATACAAGTCAGATGAAGAAGGTCAATGAAGCTCAAAAAAATTCAAGAAAATCCTTGAAGGATTCAGTTTTCACATACACACCAAGACCAACAGCTAACTTGGTAGAGCTCAGGTAATACTTCCTAATTCAGTACAGTTAATAATTGTAAGACAAATAAAGTACTGTAACTGGGAGGTATTTTCTGCCTCCACAACTGGATTAAGGATAGCTTTAGATTGTGAGTTCTGACCCTTGCCAATTACTTTACCTGTAACACCTGTACTGATCTGATCCTATCTAAGTAGACTCTGAGTAGATACTAGTCTGTCTTAAAAAGAACAACCAGATACTCTTATTTATTCTGACTTTTAAAAAGCAGTAGTTTTTTCCCCCTCCAAATGAAATCTTGCCTCTAACTCCAATTTGGAAAACAGATAAAGAAATGTTCTCAAAATCAAACCGGATACTTTTGGGGGCTGAGGTGGGCGGATCACTTGAAGTCAGGAGTTTGAGACCAGCTTGACCAACATGGCAAAATCCATCTCTACTATAAATACAAAAATTAGCAGGGCTTGGTGGTGTACGCCTATAGTCCCAGCTTACTTGGAAGACAGAGGCATGAGAATTGGTTAAACCTGAAAAGAGGTTGCAATGAACCAAAATAGCACCACTGCACTCCAGCCTGGGTGTCAGAGTGAGACCTTGCCTCAAAAAATAAATTAATTAATTAATTAAACCAGAATGACAGCTCAGTGGTTGCCTACAATTTGGGGGTGACAAAAATGGAGACAGAAAGAGAAGAGTAGCAGGGATTCAATGGGAAATGAGGAAACTTGGGAATGAGAGATTCTAGGAGTTGCGTGATGCTTTCAAGGTTGTATACAGATATCAAAGCTTATCAAAGTATTTATTTTAAATGTGTGACTTTACGTATGTCAATTGTACCTCAACAAAGCTGTTTAAAAAGAAAAACTCAGAAAGTCCGCTCAGGTTCTTGCTCTCTCACCCACATAGTATTCCCTAGCTCCCTATACTTTCTAACTGGTATTCCATTAAAAAAAATAAAAAAAAATTTAAAAAAAAGGCTGAAAACTTCTGATTTCTAAGATTTCCTTAAATACCAATGACATACTTCACTTAGGTCATCAAACAACAGCTTTGTGTGTCTCCAGAGATAAACATGATATTACATTGCTAATTACATCAATCTTTGTTTAGAAACTTCTCTTGAAAAGTGTAATATAAGAGCAAAGTTAATGGATGGTGAAAAAGCATAAATCTTGAAAGGTAATGGGAAGTGTAAGAAGCAAAACAAATTTTCCATTTGTAAAATATACCCAACTATGTCTAGCAGAAACATTTAACTTTGCATTCACTAAAAAGGAATTTTAAACATGCATAATCTTACAGATTTTCAAGGCATTTTGTTTGTCACAGAAAATTCAGAGATGGCACAAAACAAATGGTTAAAATCCCTGGGATATAAGACAAATATATTCTTGTTTGAAATTTACATTAAATGTAATATAAACTAAAATACTAAAAAAAAATTATTTGTATACCTGCTTTGTTTCTAAAGGTATCTTATATTAAGCTAAATAGCATTAATTAAAATAGCTAGAGAAGATGTAAAAATAAAAACAAGAATATTTTTCCTTACTAGTAAAGTCTAAATTCATTTCTGTGTAACTCAGAGGTCAATATAAACAATTTGTATCATTAAATACTGAAAGCAAACAATTTTACTAACAAAGCAGAGTGCTATCATGCAGTAAGAAATGCTAAGGTGCTCATATACTCACGACTCCCAACATCCTCTACAAAAGTCATGTCCACAGGGCATATCCACGGGGTCTTCAAATACAGAGATACTGCACATACAAATGTCACACTGGAGATAAAGAACAACAATGATTTAAACAGAGCTATACTTTTGAAGAGAACAATACACTCATTTTGTTCACATTTTTTTTCTGGAGATGGAGTTTCGCCCTGTTGGCCAGGCTGGAGTGCAGTGGTACAATCTTGGCTCACTGCAACCTCCGCCTCTTGGTTCAAGTGATTCTCTTGCCTCTCCTGAGTAGCTGGGATTACAGGTGTGCGCCACTACACGTGGCTAATTTTTGTATTTTTAGTAGAGACAGGGTTTTACCACATTGGTCAGGCTGGTCTCAAACTCCTGACTTTGTGATCCACCTGCCTCGGCCTTCCAGTGTTGGGACTACAGGCGTGAGCCACTGCGCTCGGCCTTGTTCACTGTTTTAAAAGGCAAAAATACTAGTACAGTAATTAAGTTTTCAAAAGTTAACTCTTTCAAAGTTTTAAGGACAGTTAGTGTGCCTTTAATTGAGTAACAAATACCATCACTACCACACTATAAATAATAATAGGATTTAAATGTTTTAATGCAGAAATCAAACCCTTTAATTCCAAATTATGTAATGATCAGCAACTGTGCATTTGGAAAAGGAAGTACAAGAAACAAATCATTTGGGTCAACATCAAATTCTATATTGCAAAATAACCACTTCCGTATTATGTCCTTCACGTTACACTTACCCTTCAAAATCTACAAAAGCAGAGTAACTGTATTTTTAATTCGGCAACTCAAGATATCCAGACTTTCCTGGGAGAGAACCCTGCTATAAAACTACGTATTAGGCTGGGCGCAGTGGCTCACTTGAGGTCAGAAGTCCAAGACCAGCCTGACCAACATGGTGAAACTCTGTTCCTACTAAAAATATAAAAATTAGCTGGGAATGATGTTGCATGCCTGTTATTCCAGCTACTTGGGAGGCTGAGGCAGGAGAATCACCTGAACCCAGGAGGTGGAGGCTGCAGTGAGCCAAGATTGCGCCATTGCACTCCATCCTGGGTAACAAGAGCAAAACTCCATCTGAAGAAAACCCCAAAAACCAAAAAACTAACTATGCATTAAAACTATGCCATTTTAATAGCAAAAACTGCAATTACTTTTATGCCTACTAAATATCTTCTAAAGAATAGCTCTCTAGAAGCAAAATTTATCATGTTACATATGCAAATTACAGGATTCTGTTTTTCAAAAAGGCATAGATAAAATGAGGACTTTAATATTTATCACATATTTTGAGTCATTCAAGAAATATAAAAATCTCCTATAACAGCACACCAATGATATGCCAATTTAAAATGCTGACAATGGCAGTACTGTTTCTTAAAATAACAAAACACTTATTTTGGAAATGCATCTAGATAACAAACTCCAGAAGCTTTACTGAAACAAATACATAACTATCAAAATATTGTAAATGTTTTAAAAATTAGCTTTTAAGACATTATAAAAAATGTTTTTGTATTTTTGGTTTACAGTACTTATCACAAACTTAACTTTTTATATTTCAATAGGATATATATATGTATGTACATATTTTGAGATGGGGTCTTGCTATACTGCCTAAGGTGGTCTCAAATTCCTGGGTTCAAGTGATCTTCCCAAGTTCAGCCTCTTAAGTAGCTGGGATTACAGCTGCACACCACTGTGCCTGGCTAATATGTTGTATTTAAATCTTTTTTTTTTTTTTTTAATTTTTAATTTTTTTTGGAGATGGAGTCTTGTTCTGTCACCCAGGCTAGAGTGCAGTGGTGTGACCTTTGCTCACTGCAACCTCTGCCTCCCGGGTTCAAGCAGCTCTCCTGTTTCCACCTCTCGAGTAGCTGGGACTATAGGCGCATGCTGCCATGCCCAGCTCCTTTCTTGTATTTTAGTAGAGACAGGGTTTTACCATGTTGCCAAGGCTGGTCTTGAACTCCTGAGCTCAGGCAATCCACACGCCTTAGCCTCCCAAAGAGCTAGGATTACAGGCGTGAGCTACCACACCAGGCCTGTATTGAAATCTTAAAGTAATTGAAGTTTTAAGGGAAAATAAAATAGATGGTTTCCCTAAACTGTTTTAAGTTCTGTTTCGAAATACGGAAAGAAACCTTTTTTTAAATCTATAATTCAGAAATCACAAAAATATTCTGTAATAATAAAAATTGACTGAAGCAAGAAAATAACTGAATCTTTCAAGAAAGGTATAGGATTCAATTACAAGAATACAATAAGACACTCCATGGAACAATATTAAATTATTTGAATGCTAAAAGACTAAAAATAAAGCTATGAGAAGCAAAGTGAATACCAAATCATACCAAACTGGTGTCTAAATCCCCAGGAGATAAGCTGATTTCATCTGGGGAAGTGACAGAAGAGCGTGTAGTCCTTGGAGTTCTTGGAGATGGGAGTGTGTCCCAGGCATTATACCCACTTGGTGGTGGAGTTGGCATTTGAACACCTGATCGTTGGCAGCAGTTCTCTGGGTTCGACATCCAAGCTTCAAGTAATTTCTCCCTGTCCCAGTCTTAAAGAAAAATAGAATGCACAGCTCTCAAAAAACAGAAAATTTGGTAATGTTTTAAAAGCTATATAATAACAAAAAATGAGAATAAATTTTAAAATGTAGGTCATAAAGAAAAACGTATTATATAAAAGTAGTAACTGCAAATGAATGTCTAGATATGTTCTTGTTATTAACGTTTTTACATCAAATTTACTTGATTGTAGCTTACAACCATGTCAAGATCTAGTAGTATGGTCAAAATTTCCAGGACTTTTTACTAACAATCAAAACAGGTCACTCACACATCACTCTTGCAATTCACTACCTTTTCGCTGGGATAGGTTTAATTTAGCTTCTTTACTCTTTCAAAAAATATAATTTTGTAATTGTCTTCACTGGCATCAAGTTGTAAAATGATTACATAGTTCACTACAGATATGTCAAAATGTCAATAGCCTAAAAATCATTTAATAAACAGCTTGAAAGCAGAAGAAACTTCTGAAGAAATTAGAGTTATAAACAAAGTTTTAGTGAATTAGGTATAAATCCTATATTAAGTGATCTTGAAACTGGCTTAACCAAAAAAGATTATCTTCCTACTGTGAACATTTTAAAAATTGCCAAGTAAAACATATTATAATGTGTAGAGCCATAAAAATCTAACCCTTTAAAGACAACAAACTAATGCATTCAATTACTTTGCTAGGTGTTTTACACACATTATTTCATTTAATGCCCCCAGCAGACTATTCAATTATTATTTAGGTGAAGAAATCAAGACTGAAGGAAGTTACATAACTTGTTTAAGCTCACACAGAGATTTGGAACCAATTTCTGTTATTCCAAAACCTGTGTTCTTTCCATGATCACACACTGTTTCTGAGAAGATTAAAGGGTAAATTATTCACTGTAAGCACATTCTATAAAATTTTATAGCTCAAATACAAATAACTGGAAATTTTCTACACAAGTTTTTTTTTTTTTTTTTTTTCCAACCATATTAAGCCAATGTATTTGGCAGTTCAACAAGATAAGTATGCCTTCAACATGCAATGAAAATAGAGGAGTATATCTCCAGGTAAGAAACATAAACAAACGCATATAAAAATACAGATGCTCCTTGACTTATGATGGGGTTATGGCCTTATAAACCCATTGTAAACTAAAAATATCCTAAGTTAAAAATGTGTAGTTGACTAGGAGCTATGGCTCAAAGCTGTTGCCTAGCATTTCAAGAGTAGTATGGATCTACTGAATGCATATTGATTTAGCACCATTATCAGTAAAAAAAAAAAAAATCGTAAGTCAAACCATCATAAGTCAGGGACTATCTGTATATACAGAGGTTTTTCTGGTGATTATTTTACATAAGGAGAATATCATGTAAACTTTATCTCCTTTTCCCACTTAATCAACCTGAAAATCTCTCCAAGTAAACTAGTTTAACATTAGTTCCTTCTTTTTAATGACTGCATATTAATCTACTGCATGAAACAATTTGTATATCATGATTTAGTCAAATATCCCCCTACTTTGTTTACAGTTATTTCTCTGCCACAATGAGGCTGCAATATACATCAGTGCAGTTATAGTCATGTATATATTCATGTTTATATTGATATTTCTTTGGTATAAATTCCCTGGAATGAGGCTAATGGGTCTAAGGCCCATCATGTTTTTAAAAGATAATGCTAGATGGCTTTCCAAAAGGGTTATAACAATTTTTTTTTTTTTTTTTTTTTTTTGAGACAGGGTCTCACTCTATCTGAGCTCACTGCTGCCTCCACCTCCCAGGTTCAAGAGATTCTCATGTCTCACCCTCCCAAGTAGCTGAGGTTACAGGCATGCACCACCACTCCCAGCGAAGTTTTGTATTTTGTTTTTTAATAGAGACAGGGTTTCATCATGTTGCCCAGGCTGGTATCGAACCCCTAACCTCAAGTGATCTGCCTGCCTCAGCCTCCTGAGGTGTGAGCCACCACACCTGGTGTGTTACGGCAAGTTTTACTTCTGTCAGCAATGAGGAACCTTACCAATTTCTTCCAGAGCAACGAATGTTAGTTCTTTTACACATTTATAAACTGATAGTTCATTGTTATTTTAATTACCATTTTCTTGACAACTGATGAATTCAAACATCTTTTGATGTGTTTCTTGGCCATTTGGATGTGCTCTTCCATGAATTACCTATCCGTATCTTTTCACCACTTTGCTACTGGGATGTTTACCAATTTCTTATCAATTTAAATAAGGTTTTTGTATACAATATACATTAGCTAATATTGTTTCCAAATCAAAATTATGTTTCCTCACTTTGTTTACGGTATACTTACAACAAAATGTTAAAAATCCAATATACTTTAATATAGATATCTCTTCTTTATCTTGTTTTCTTGTCTTAGAAACTCAGAGGTTTTCTTCTGTCTTTAGATTAACATGTAAGTCTCCTAGACCTTCTCCTAAAATTGATGAATTTACTTTATATCCTTCATCCTTTTTTTTCTTGGTCTTCCAATTTAATTTAATTCATTTGACTGCCCAGTCATATTAGGATCATTTAATAAATTATATATCCTTTCCCCACTAATCTATAACGTCATCTTTAGATAAATTAAATTCCCAAATACTGTAAATTATATTTACTATTCTGTTTCAATGGCCTATTTGTCTACATTTGAACAAGTGCCATGCTGACTGAATTGCAGTGGCTTACAGTGTGTTCTCTTTTCTGGGAAGGCTAACTCCTTTCACTGAATAAGCACACCTGATCTCTGTGACTGTCAGGAAACTGAGGAAAGCTGAATAGGTAGGATGAGTCCTCTTATTTAGACCCAAGGTTAGGCTCAGAGTTCAGAGACAGCTGCAGAGAGACAGATGCATTACAGAGACTCAGGATTAGCATAAAAGATTACCTTGCACAAAAAAAGCCATAATTAAAAAAAAAATTCAGTGGCCAAATAAAGAGAATGGTTCCATGGTTCCATTTGAGACACAAATTAATGTTCTTTAAGACCAAGGGAGGAGAAACACTTCACAGGAAAAGTAAACACTTACCAAAGAACTAGAATTTTCTAATGAAGATAATACATGTAATTGAGCCTCATCATTAAAAAACAAAAACAAAAACCCTACAACCAATCAAACCCCAGAAAAATGAAAGAACGTGATAAAGGTAAAGCAGAAATTATATGTTAGGAACTATTGATAGAAAAAAAATGATAGACAACCTATAAACTGCAGAAAAAAAGAAAGACAAAAATCTAAGAATTAAAAAGAAAATCTAAGGCAATCGGGAAAACTCAGCATATACACATTGAAACTGAAAATACGATACAGCTATATGTAGAGAGAAAATTAAAAGAACTCTAATAAAATGCAATGTCTTTCAAACTGTAAACTTACTTATGGGCAGAGCTTGACCTATATTGCAATTGATTTTATCACCATTACTCAGCCTAGAGCCTAGTTCAAAGTGTATATTCAATAGAAATCTGTTGAATGAACAAATGAATATAAAACCACATGCCAACATTATTACTGAAGTAGATAATATTCCAGGAAATTGTAAATGATTAAGGCTGAAGAACTCATGAAAAGGTAGTAATTCTAAGCAGACTAATAACATTGGAAGAAACTGAAGAATACAGTCATTATTTCTTTAAAAAGTATAGGGTTCATATGGTTTCATAAACAAATTTTTAACAATTTTCAAGTAGAAATTAATTCTTATGTCCTTGCATAAGCATAAAGAAGAAAGATTCCTAGGTTTTTTTTTTTTTTTTTTTTTTTTTGAGATGGAGTTTCCATTGCCCAGGCAACGAGAACGATAAATTTAAAAAAAAATTTCAAATAGAAATTAATTCTTGTGTCCTTGCATAAGCATAAAGAAAAAAGAAAGATTTCTATGTTTTGTTTTTGTTTTTGTTTACTTGAGATGGAGTTTCACTCTTGTTGCCCACGCTGGTGTGCAATGGTGCGATCTTGGCTTACTACAATCTCCGCCCTCTGGGTTCAAGCGATTCTCCTGCCTTACCCTCCCAAGTAGTTGGGATTAAAGGTGCCTGCCACCCTGCCTGGCTAATTTTTTGTATTTCTAGTAGAGAGGGGGTTCCACCACGTTGGCCAAGCTGGTTTTGAACTCCTGACCTTAGGTGATCCATGTACCTCAGCCTCCTAAAGTGCTGAGATTACAGGTGTGAGCCACTGCACCTGGCCCCTATATATTTTCTATAAGCAATTATAAGCAATCTAAATCCAACCACAGTGATAATTACATTAAATGTAAATTGACTAAACATTCCATTTTTATTTTTGAGGCAAGGTCGAGCTCTGTCACCCAGCCTAGAGTGCAGAGGTGCGATCATGGCTCACTGCAGCCTTGGACTCCTGGGTTCAGGTGATCATCCTACCTCAACCTCCTGAGTAGCTGGGACTTAGGTGTGTGCCACCATGCCTGGTTTTTTTTTTTTTTTTTTTTTTAATTTTTGTAGAGACAAGGTCTCACGATGTTGCCCAAGCGTGTCTTGAACTCCTAAGCTCAGGTGATCTTCCTGTCTTGGCTCTCAAAGTGCTAAAATTACAGATCTAAGTCACTATACCTAGCCTTACTAATCTTTTTTATGTAGGGCCAAGAACTTTTCTTTGACTTATTGTTCTCCTTCTATTTCCTATTTCTTGCCTAAACTATACCCACAAAACATTGTCCATTTCTCATTGTTATTTCCTTAGATCAAGATTTAAAACATTCAGATAGCAATATGAATATAAAGGCCTAGATTTTTATGACCTCCCCTTTTTCTTCAGTTATTTCACTCACACACAATGTTAGAGCAATTTTAAAACAAACCTGCCTTTATCAAGGTTTTCTAAAGCCTCCAAATGAGATTTCAATAAATAACTATTTACTCATGTTTTATCAGTACCATTCCATTATATTATGTAATTACAACAAGGTATACAACTGAAATAATCAGGTTTGTTAATTGGTATGCATTCAAGAGAATGCATGAGAATTCTGAAAA